AGAGGAGCGAGCGCACCCCGTGCTCGGCACACCCCGGACAGGGGGGCCCGGAGCAGAACTTGCCCGGTTCCCGGCAGACCCCCAGGAACCCAGAGTTCTTTGGAAAGCACCGCACTGGCTGGGCCCCCCCGCCCCCCCCGCCGGGGAAACCCGAACCAGAACAAGGCATGTTTGCCTTTGCAGGAACCAGAAGGCAATTTACAATTAACATGCTGAAGGTGTAGAAGTCTTCTTGATTTTTTTTTTTTAGCACGCATGTTACTCTAACACTTTCTGCAAAATTAGTTTGGTTACTGCAGAAACCCAGCTCGAAAACCAGACGTTGCCAGAGGCCCAGTGTGAAAGGAGTGGCTCTCACACTCCTCCTGGAGCTTCTCCTTTTCACAGTTGTAACAAACTTAGAGACCCAAATATTGCACAGTTGAAAGAGGAGCTCCCACTTTGAAATTCACACCCAACTCAGAATTACTGCTGGACTTGGAAAGCAATAAATACAAAGCAGGTAGTTGCTGTGACCTCATGCCCACCAAAGAGCCACCTTACCTGTAACCAGTGCTGGGAGTACAAAACGACCGCGTTTGCAACACAAGAAATTTCAGAGCTAAAAGGGCTGGTGGATTCCATGAAGAAGGATATAGAGAAATAAGTTAAACGGACTTAAATAAGAGAATTAATTTACATTCATGAGAATAGACCTAGGGAAGAAAACACTTCCCAAGTGAGAACAATCAAGGTTTGCTGCTGAACGAACAGCCAGAGGAAAAAAGTGCATTGGTTCTCTACTTCTGTGTTTAGCGTCATTTAGAAAAAGCAAATATGACACAGAGTTTATGAAAGGTGTGTACAATACTAAGTGCAAATACAGGCTTGGGCATTCAGAAAGCCAAAGTGCCCAGAGCGGAGTTGCCACAAGTTACAGGAACGACATGGAAGAAAGAGGAAGAAAAATGCAGCAGAGGCACCACAGGGTAACATACAAGTTAAATTTATAACAGTTAGATAAATTTCAAAAGGGTTCATTATCAAACTGCCAGGAAAATGCTACCTTTAAAGTTGTGACAAATATTTTCCTCTGGCTTTTCAAAGGACAAGCATTAAACAATTCCTGAGAGAAGAGCAGATGTGCCACGTCTTACCTTCCTGAAAGCAAGCTGTACTGCACATGTGGCTGTACTGTATGAACAAAGATGGAAAGCCACACAGGAAGAATGGAGAGAGCATCCACATCAAGAAAAAATTGTTAGTGATCATTTCCACCCTTGGAGGACCCGTTGCATAATTTATCCAGGCACAGCCAGCCATTTTCACAGTGACACCATGGTAGCTCTAAAATATGCATAACAGGTTCTTGTAAAGGCCCACGTTATACATTTAAATGAGAGAACCATCGGAGTTTGCTGGAACAGCCCATTTTTAGCCCAATCCAGTTTCATAACCTCATATTGTCCCCTTTCCCATAATTTAAAAACTCTATTCTAGCATTTCTTCTTTAAACACATGGTGACCTGAAAATTGCCATCTTCTAACTAGCTTCATGAGTTGGCCACAGATTTTTTCAACTATTAATTATAATGTTGACCAACAGTAGTGTTTTGAGATGCCTGAAACAATAATGCTTTGATAAAAGCTTAAAATATAAAGAAGCTTCCTATTACTGTTTATTTTGTGTAAAGGCTATGTCAGAAAATTATAAGAATTTCAGAATTCAGTTCAGAACTATTGGATGGGAATAGGGCTACAAGGAAAACAATTTAAGGGACCAAACAGGTAAATTCAGATTACCAAATGAAGAGAGAGAAGTTCCATACCAGTGTATCACCAATAGGTCAGTAATTAACATTTTAATTAACAGCAAAATACTTGTGCTAAATGTAGATGAACTATTGAAACCAGAACAGACAACACAGAAGCCAGAAGAACAGTTAGGCACGAATTTGGACAAATAAAAGACAGTACAAGTGGAAATTCATGTTCAGTGAGAATACTGTGAACTCAGGCTGCATGTGCAGAGCCATGGGTCATATATGACAACTTTGAATTCAGATTTGGGGCTCTCATTAACAGAGGAATACTGACAAAAAGCAAAGCAAATGCAACAAGTCACAAAATGACTGCAGGAGTTATAAAAGCAGTAATTAAAAAAAATAAATCAATTTATAGGGAAAAGGTTAGAAGTACCAGTTTGTTGAAGTAAAGGGGCAGCTCCAAGAGGTAAGGAGGAAAAGAAACACTGTAGGGTGAAGTTTCCAGAGCAACACAAAGTTCAATGTGGTTATCAAAAAACATTGCCTAATTAAGTAAAAATTCCCTAAGTCACTCCAGGGACAGGCTTACACTTTCAAACATTATCTTGAACACCTATACCACAGACATCAGCTTTGTTTCCACAGAGCTACAATCTCAGGAAGAACACACATAGCAATGGAAGAAAATCCACTGCAGACTTATGAAGGTGCAAAATGATAATAATAAAAAGCAGACATGTATCTGGACATTTATTCAAAATAAGAGGAGGGAAGCAGCAAGCTGAGGTGATGATTAGGCAAAACCTTCCAGTTTGGGGTGGAATAGCCACCAAGAGAACAGCTTGGGGCCCTGTTGCTTGGGACACTTAAAACTCACGACTGGACAACACTGATGCACAGATTCAAACCCTAAGGATCCAGATGACATGAGGCAGGACGGGTGTCCTCACTTGCCCCCACTGTAAGTGAAAATACCAGTTTCTCTCCTTTTACAGTAATAGGGCGAAGGGAATAATCACAGACAATAGACACACTTGTGGTGCTGACAATTAACTGCAGGCCTTTTATAAGGACTCATGACAACTATGTTCAAACATTTCTTCTACGCAATGAATCATGATTTTTGTTACTTAAAACCAGCTGAGCACCATTTATAAGTCATCTTTTTTACATTTGATTTACACACTAATCTTCATGGAAATGTGGCTTTGTACTTTAGAAGAGTTTTCCTTGGAAGGAAGGAATTAAATAATTAAATTTAAGTTACTCTATAAAGTAATTTGTACTTTATACTTTCATTGTATATGGAAATTATGCACCAAATAAGATTCAGAAATTCAGCAAGCTCTAATCCATGCATCCTTTATTCCATTACAATCACTGTGTTGCATTCTAGCAACAGGACACAAACTGCAATCAATCGCGATCAATTTATACAACAATCTGAGGCTTACAGTACATTTAAGGCCTTTAAATTTGGAAAAATTAGACCTATGCTAGTAGTGTAACAATTTTTAAGTGTCTTGCATTTCTGATGCATAATCTGTGCGATTCCAGTGTCAAAGAATCAAATTACTTCTAAACTAAAAAGATCAGCTCAATGAAAATTTAGTTACATAAATTCATCAAAACATAAATGTGTAAATTTTTTTTTTTGTCCTGGAAAGTTTATAAAACTTTAATAGCAAAATAATATAGGGATAAAAACATATTTTAACAAAATGTATTCAATCATATACAAACCAGAATTTTGCAGTTTATTGTAACTAGACTTAAATTAAAACTACCAATTAAGAATCTATGCACAATGTAAATTCAAATATGTACAGTACTTTTAAAAAGTCTACAGGAATGCTTTACAGAAGGAAATGTCTGTTATGGCTATTATTCAGACCATCTGAATATTAAAATGAGTTTTCTAGTAGTAAATTTACACATTTATTTTTAAACAAAAGCAATTTTGTCCCTAGTTGCTTTAAGAATATTCCAGTTATGTTTATACAGGTAATGGAGAGGTCATTACAGAGTTTAGCCCCATCTAGTAGTTTATTTTCAGGAAAAAGTATATTTAAATAATTTACTTGGGAAGATCAGTAAGTTAACAAAAGAACACTAGAAGGGAGGAGGGGGAACTTCATCACAATAACTTTCCAGTTACAATACCACAGCTAGAAACTTTACAGAGGAAGTACTCCCGTAGATGGAACCCATGACTGATTGTTCAGAACAAGCTGTAGCTCATAACAGTTGTGTTCTCCACACCGAGAACACTGGAAAAAAAGTCTTTGTAGGACAGAATTATAAACGATCTGAAGCGAGACAGAGAAAACTGATCTTCAATTAATACAGCATTAGGTAAAAAGTGTCCCCATAAGCAGCTAGTATTCCCACTTCCTTCAGGGCAACGAAGCTAAAAATTGTTGGAATTACAGTAGTTGACCATATTTGTGTGCATTAGTAGAATAATTTCCAGATATAAAAGACAAATTTCATCAGATGTTGATTAGAACACCCTCAAGACAGGGTATTTCTTCATAGTATAAAGCTATTACAGCTATCCAGTTAAAGCATGTGCAAAACCAGGTAATTTCTTCCGTTCACAGTAACTGAGGTAAAATCAGGTAGGCTTCTTCAGGAGTTGGGAAGTTCATGAGATATGAACTGTTTTAGTCTCTCTAGGTATTGTGCATAAAGCTCTATGTCGTTATGCCCAGCCCCTTCCACCCAGAGGGGCTCTACTGCTCGTGGACATCGCTCATACATGGCCAGGCCGTGGGAGAAATCGATCACCTCGTCTTCGGTACCATGGATCACCAACACGGGAGAGGTTACTTTAGATATCTTGTCAATGCTGGGGGATGGAAAAGAAAAACAGAGCTCAGTTTGGGGCTTTAACTTTCACACCATTAAAGAAAGCAAACTGACACATGATCTAGTTACCACTGCGTGTTTTCAGATGGCTGCGAATGTTGGAATTGTGCCCAAGCGATACAGAACAAGGCTCACTCCCAAAACCCACGTGTAAACAGGAGCATGCACTGCCATCACCATCATCCCACCAGTTTTAACAAGTAGCTCAAATGGGCAGCACATAAACGATGTTTGGCACAACCCCAACCTAATACATTGAGTATATTTACCACAAAAAACACTGAGTGGCAAAAAAGATTCCACGGGACACGCTGCCAGCGTGGCCTCTTCACATTACACATTATCACCTTCCAATTTAACAGATTAGGAACTAATTAGCTACAGTCCAGTCACAAGACTCATGTAAAAAAAGCCCCAGCCTCAGCTCATGAGGTTTCAACCTGTCTTTACACCCCCAAATCAAAGCAGATCCAGCTAAAGAAAAACAATCTGTTCTTTGTACTGATTATCTACGTTCAAAGGGCAAGAGAAAAAACAGTGTGAGAAAAGCATTACAGAAGGATATTTAACTGCAAACCAGAAGAAACACAGAGAATTTTATGTCATGCAACTAATTCTTCTGCAAAGTGGCCTTACAGTAATTGTTTTTCTTTTTGTTCCAGCTACACTTTGTAGACCAATACAGCTGGTGACCACCTCTGACAGGAAAATGGGTTCAGAGGAAAGGGAAGGGGAAGAGTGACACAGGAACCTTCACACTTCTTGAGTTCAGGCCAGAAAATCCCAGTTATAAAGCATACCGGTAGCACATGAACTCCAAAGAGGTAAACAGCAGCTTTCTCCGAGTGCCTCTGTGCAGACATCAACTTTTATTTCCAGACATTTCACATTGGTAGTTACCAGTAATTCCAAAAGAGTATATAGGCACAGAGTGGTAATGAACTCTCAGCTTCCTCCCAGCACCACTTATATCAACAAATGGAGGAATTGGCTCAGGACATGGTGCAGAATATGGGATGAAGCGAGTGGAAAAATGAGTATCAGTAATATTTGATTTAAAAGGACAAGTCAATTTCTTTCTGGTGTCTAACAAAAGGTGTTTGGATTTTTCTGCTCCTGAAGAACAAGAAAGCATGCACTTTTGGTAAGACTAGAGATTTTACAATGTGATCAAGACTGCTTAAAATGATTAAAAGACATACACTGACTTAAAAACAGGTTTAAAGAAGCTTTATGAAAAGATAATGTTAATTAAAAATTAAGATGGAGACTGAAACACTAAACCTCACACATATAAATCTCAGTATTTAGTATTCTAGTGATCCGTCATTGGTATTCCAGTAAACAGCTGAGTGTAAACACACTTCTATCTCTGTCTCAATACTTCTCCAAAAAACCAGACTCCATGTAATTTAAAGAAGAAAAGTGTTATTTAAAATTAAAATGCAGCCTATTTCACTTTTCCTGTCTGGAACTTGAGTTGCATGCAACTATGCTGAATACAGAAAAATATCCCAAAAACGTAAGAGAGACATCAGAATAATGCACATTTTTCCCATCATTTTCATTCCCAAATTAATATCACAGCCAAATGTAAATGCTTTATAATCAACAAGCCATATAAATGGAAGGGTCTGTCCCTGAGTTCCACAATGTGACAGACACGCCAGCTACATACAGCTAGAGATCTTTATATATAACTCGGGCATCTAGATACTAAGTTCTCATTTAGTGTAGGAAACCAGGAATCCCTTTTACTTCAGTATTCAGATAATGCAAATATTTTTCCCCATATATTCACAGACCATTAGGCTAGATAATATTTGTATTTTGCAGAAAATTGGAAAGCGTCCCATTGCCAACTCAGCGACTCATAAGGCAGTATTTAAACTGCGCATTAGATTTACTTAGTATTCTTAGCCATACCGCTCTGCAGCTAGAAAAATCTACAGAGACCAAATTCTCACCGAGTCCCAACATAAAATGCACATAATAGCAATTCGCTGTAGGTGCACACAGAACTATTTGTTTCCTGCCGTGAAGACAGACAGTTGAGCTGCACACATTCATAAAAGCACACTGCTGTTTATTTTCACTGCTTACAGTGCAAGTGAAGTCAGACTGACAGCAACAAACTCAGCAGGGGGAGAGCAAAATACTCAAGTGCTACAGTGCATCTGTTGTCACTGTTCCCCCCCACACACTTTTTCTTTTTTACACTGTTATTTGATTTGGCTGATATCAGCTGATCACTGTTACTTTTGTAATCAAAGCTATTTTTAAGGCTTTGGTTTTTTTCCCCCTCAAGCAGAAGCATTTGTAAATATTGGATTTCAGGTTTAAGGATGATGTATGAGTCAGAGTGTGTTTCAAATTCTGACTGCACCTTCAACAATTTAATTACTTATTTAATTAATAACTTATTTGTAAGAATTCTGAACAAGGGGACTGCACATACACCGTGATACCGTGAGAGCCATTATTACTTGGTCACTATTACTTCTGGCTGTTTTGACACACAGATTTATATCTGTGGCCTCCCCCACCTTCTAATCTTAATCTGTTGTAACTAAAATAAAGCAAACAGAACAAATGCTATGAATATCTCCAACTACATTTATTGCAGACATGACCTTCTGAAGCAAAGCCAAGCTTTCCACAAGAATTCAGGGAGTTTCTGCTGTCTTCTCCCTTCCATGGGCCACTTAGCTTTCTGTCTGTGCCTCCCCTCTACACCTCCTCACCCCCCCTGCCCCCCGCCCCATACACTGCTATAAAAAGACTGGCTTCCCCCTCATATTCTCCCATAATTTAAACTGGACCAAAAGAGAAGTTTTAAAAGATTCCTAGAACATCTGTTATTCCCAGGACCTCTACTATTCCCCCATACTTGGCTACTCTAATTTAGGTCTGTTACAATTGCTTTTCAAATGAAACACTAAGCTATAAAGGCAACTGTTTTATTTCGAAACCACTTGTATATAGCTTTCTGTATGTAAAATATTCTAGAGCTTCTTAAAACAAGCTCAAAATCTTCCAAAAGAGGGACAGTAGCTTATTTTTATCACAGATATTGGGATCTTACATCATCTCCATCAGGGAGGAGCAAATACAAGTCTCAGCATCTCTAGTGATTTCATATGGACAGCATGCCAAAGACGCAGAAGTGTTTTTACTTACACAGACCAAAGGCAAAGAAACACTAAGAGTATTCCCTCAAGATTATACATGAAATGCAGAACCAAGCTGAAAAGTGAACCACACCAGTCTAACACCCTAGCCTCTGACCCTCTCTTGTTTTCTCCCTTTAAAAGCAGCAATTATTTATATCTTTTCCTCTGCTGATCTGGTAAAACTATAGCAATATTTTAACAAGCAGCTTGGAAACAGCACATCCATTTTATGATATCATGTTACCTTCTAAATCAAAGCTGACTGACATGTCAAGAGTGTACAATTACCAACTTATTAGTCATTAGCCTGAGGACTTAATAGCGTATTATCAGTTGTTAAGCTACTACTCTAACCTTGACAGCATAAAAATTATGACATTAACAAAAAAACCAGGAAAAAAATTAGTTGTATACACTAAGACTATTTGTTCGTTGAGCTGACTATCATGTCAGTTTAACACTGACATCAGTCTGTTTCTTACATGGTGAATCTCTCCTTGGATTTAGAAGGTGTGCACATCTGAAGTTTAAAATGCAGGTGACAATTCAATAAAGTTCCCTGGAAAGTTACACAACTAGTCCCTTTCAAACACCTAAAAGAGCACAGTGAGTACAGAACAATCCTCTTTGCGGTGCTTATACTTACCTTGGAAAAGCATCGAAGCAATAGGTTTTCCTAGTGTCAGGAAAAGCTACCCGTAATCCAGACATCAAGGGAGAATGAAGGATCACTGCTGCACACTCGTACCGAGATGCCAGGTCTACCGTAGGGACAGTACCAATGCTCTGACCATACAAAATAATGTTCTCAGGACTAACACCATACCTGCAGAGAAAAGAAACATCCCCTTAAGAAAACACAACCATTCACATTTCACATAACAAAAGCAAAAACCAAACCAAACCAAACCAAAGGAGAGGGAATAAAATCCAATGAATCCCTCCTACCCACTGCAGCTCTTCAAAATCTATTGCTAGGAAACATGAATTTACAAGTCTAAACTTTAAAACAGTAAATAATCAAAATATTACACAGGCTGAAGAGAGCTATCTGCAAAGAAGGAATGTCAGTTTGTTAATCTTCACCATCTTCGTATCTTTCACTCCATAGCACAGCAAATTATAAACTAGACTTCCCCCCCTCCCCCATCCAGAATCACTCTCACGGATTCCAATTAGACATTCCAGACGCTGATAACCCTTCCACCACTAAACAAGACAGTTACTCCTCTGCCCACCTTTCTTTCCACACAGCTGGAACAAAAAGACCAAACTGCCTCATTAGGGTGGCTAAAGATACCAATGAGGATAAAAATTTGAGAGAATAGTTCTGTTCATTTTTTCAATTTCTGATCAGTGTAAATGTTTCCTCACTTTTCTTTTCCAGTTTAAAATACGTCAAGTTTCTTTTTAAGGATAATGATATACCATTCCATAGAATTCAGGGCTCATAGGGAGTCCTGGATGCCTCCCCTATATTCTCATCCAGTCTATAAAAGCGTCCTAGCTTGTGTGTCATTTCACAGCTACAAAAGAGTCGAGGATGGTGCTAATTAAGTTTTTACTTAAACAATGCAAAATATAAAGGAATTTTGAAGGAGAGCAGGAGGAGGTGACAGTGCCTAGGAAGAAGTGAAGAGTACAACAGTATTTGGTCACCACAACTTGTCAGGAAAGATGCAAATCAAAGCTGTTACTCAGTTAATTATAAAATATCTACCCAGAAGATTTCTATGCATAACTCCACTTCCTATTGCAAGCTGTGTAAAGAATAATAACACTGCAGAAGAAACCACATCTCTATTAGAAAATAATTTGTGCAGAACATCTTTTTGCTGGTCTACGTTACAGTCCTGCTGTCACTGCCATGACAATGAAAATCAAAATGTACAGTTTAGGCTCTACCCAATGAACACGTGGAAGATTTCAACTTCCTTGTTGGCAAGAAGATAGCAAGACATTTGGCAAGCCTGGTTAGTACTTGACTTTCAAGGGGCTAAATGACTGTGTATGAGCAAAAGAGAGAAAATTAAAATAGAAGAAAAATCAATTAATAATTAAAATTACAAGAGAAGAACAATCCAGTACTAATCATCCAGACACAGGCTGTCAAGATTGCCTGGTTTTATGATGAAGTAAAATTAGACTGGATTGCAGCCTCTGTGAAACTGGAGTTTTCTTAATATTTCTGTACTGTTGAGCATAAGGGTGCTTTTGGCATCTACTGTAATATGAATAAGCAACTGTACAAAAATATCTCCCTGGAGTATAATTTTATCCTCTTGGTAACCAAGCAGCAGCTCACGTTGGTGGTCTATCACCACAGCCATGGCCTGATGTTTTTTAAGAGATCCTGTGAAGCTCTTTCAGGAGAATTTTTTATCCCTTCTGTTAGAAATAGTTCTGCACAGCATCGGGAAATACAAAAACAGGACTGGAACAAGATCCGCTACATAGCACTTAAGTAGGGATAGAATGATATTAATGCTGGTAGGTTTTGCGACACCATCCTGAACTCGGTACCATGATAAAAGTCAAGTCCCCTCTCTAAAAGGCTTACAATCTCAGCAGAATATGGAAACAGGTTTGAATAAGAATCACAGGATAAGAGGACAGCATAGGATAGCAAGAGAATTCCTTCAACACAGGCAACTGCCTTAGTATGGTGATTTTCTTCAACAATTATCTACTTTGGATTCATGCCTTTTGATGTTATTTTGTTTCTGAAAACAGCTCATACTGTAAGTGGACAACTTTGTTGCTGTGGCTATAGGTACTCTAGAAAAAAAAAAATCCCAGTTTCATAGTATGCCAGTTAAAGTTGTATACAGTCTACAGCATCATTAAAAAAACCCTGGAGGTCTCTAAATTTAAAGTAGCCCTTCATCACTAAATAAATGCTACAAGTATTCAGTATCTAACTCCACGGAAAGGCAACACGACAATTCTGGAAAAAAAATATAATTTTGAAGTATTAAGACATTGAGTTAGTGCACTTGTAGCCTGTCATTAGGTCAAATGTCTTTTCTACTTTGTATTCCTACTGACTGACTACTGAAAGAATCTCTTGGACTGTTTTAGTTAGGGAGAGTCCAACTTTCCAAGACAGAAGAGTTACTGTAACAGATTTCTCTTTTTAAGCCCTTTATCATTACGCCATCAATCAGAAAGTGAGACCAAGCTCACCGCAAACATCAGCGGAGACAGCTACATCTAAAATTTATTTATTGCAAGGCCAAAGGACATGTGACAACTCATAAGCAAAGTCCATGAATAACTGACATGCACGAGGTTCTTGGAGCTGAAGGCCAGGGCTTGGCTCCACGACACTCGCAGTCTTCACAAACGCTGCCCAGCCGGTGACTCAGCAAGCAGCGTCCAACTGACGTACAAAATGACCTGGGGATTTATCTGCAAAATACAGTATCCTTTAAGCAAAGGCTGGGCCTCTTCCCCACCCTCTGCAAAACCCCTTGTGGTATTAGATTCTTGTGCAACAGGAACAGTGATACAGAAAGTGAAACAGAAAAAGAGAGGAGGAGCAGATATGGGTAAGAAGGCAGCAATGAAAGGGAAACTACGTGACATAGAAAAAAGGAAAGAATGTGATAGAAAAAGGCAAAAGACATTCTGAGAAAAGATGAATCCTGTTACAATCTGCTCTCCTATTAAGGAAGAAAGTCCTTGCACCAGCTAAACAGCAGCTCCTAAAAATATCTTCCTTGAAACACACGAGCTTTGGTCTCTGTGGAAACAGAGCTCCATCCGACGGAGCGGGAGACCCAAGTTAAATTTATGGGTATGCTCCTGCACTTCTTGTATGGAGCCCATCAGAGAGTTCAAAACAAGCAGGGCAACACTGCAATGTGGAAACCAGCCTTCAGCAAAAGCAGAGTAGGAAGCGATTCAAATAGTTACCGTGGGCATATTTAAAATGCTGGTTTGACAAAGGAGAAAAAAATAAAAAAGAGGCAGGCATGCTTTTTCCCCCCAAGTCAATTGCTGAGAAATGCAAATCTGCTGCTGTTTAAGACGATGCAAGCATTTCTGCTCCCCCCATCCACAAACACTTACCAGGTGGCAGAGTTCTGCAGCCTAGTCTACTCTCGATAACCTATAAGTAGATTATCTGGGTTACATTTCTTATGTGTGCAGAAAAAAATCCCAGCTATCTTTACAAGCAGTATAGCCATCTGCACCTACAGTTTACCAATTCAGGCCACATCTCTGAGGCACCAACACACTCCACAGTTCACAGTATTTTTTTTTTTCCCCCGTGTTACTGCCTCAATTTATACAAATTAGGTTTAACAGCAATTCTGGTCTCCTTACGCTAGCATGAACTATGTGCACAGAAGTTGGCTATTAAGAATCTACACCCTAGACTCTTCTACTTAGTCCTTCCCAGAGTAATAGGAGACCTCAGTCACACCAACAGGTCAGTGGGACAAGGGACAGTGGGAATATTGCTGACAGAGTATAGCAGAGGAGGACGGGACACAATTATTGGAGTTCAGTCTGCTTCGCTGGATGGTTGTGGCTTGGGCCATGTTCCTCACCAGTTTCCTCACAGAACACCGATGATGGTATCAATTGCCTTTGTAAAGTACTTAAAGCTTTCTGGCCGACAGCACTATGTACAAACTATGTATTATCATAAACTATCTTTAATTATGAACAGAAGATACTGGTTCCCACCCCCACCCCCCGGCTTAAGCTTTGACTGATGCAGACGGAAAGTTTACCATTGCTATTTTTACTCTCTCCTTACTCATTTGAAAGCACTACTGGAATGCTGCTGCAGGGACTACAGACGTGCCACACAGCCGAAGCCCTGCAATGTTCACGGCCAAAGTTACAGCATCTGTGCCAATCCTCAGAGGTGCTAAATGCATATTCATTATGAGGCCAGCTCTTTTTTCAAGCTTACTGAATCACTGAAGTTAACCACATCTTGTATTTTCAGTTTTGAAGTTTTATGGTATATGCTGTCCCAGTATCCCTTACCTAAACTGGAAAGCCTACAGAACAGCATGGATATGGCAACAGCAACAGATCAGTCTTCAAAACCAGTCACAGTAACCACCTAGGCAGAGCATTTCCACTACCCAAACCCCATTTCATAAATGTTGTCGAGACCTGCTTTTTAACTGCTACCAAACTAAGGCAGCTACTGGTGGTCAAGTTCTTCCTTATACTTCCTTTTCCTCCTTTATATATATTCTTATATGTAAGAGAAATAGCCAAGAAAAACAAGGTAACTACCTGATGTGTTCTTGCAAGGAGACTGAGTTTGAAACTGTGCACCTCCCTCTCAAGGGAAACACCACAACTAAAGAATTCCTTTTCAAGGCACAAAGAAAATCCAGCATACATCAGCAGCGACACAAATCATGCCACATTTACTCGGTTATAATAAGATCTTCACAGGCTATTCTTCAAGTTTGTTTCCTCCTCTTTATACAAACCCATTTGTCACAACATACTATTCATTATTTTCAAAATGCATTATCTCTATAATCCAGAAAAATTTAGATCCGTTATTAAGAAACACATACAGGTTTTTCTATAGCAGCATTATACACTTCCATAAGATACACATCTACATTTTCAGAAATAAGTAGTTATTTAATCCAGTATGAATCTAAAAATCTAATTTTGGGGGTAAAAAGGAAAAATAAAAATCCTCAATCAAGTAAAAACCCCACATGCAGATTGCATATCTTGAACAAGAGTTTATATTTTAGGATCTTTATGTTAAAAACACTCAACAGGAGAAGTTTGGATTATTGCAAGTAATTTACAGTATCAGAAGAAAACACTGAA